ACTCCATTCACACACAGAAGAAGGCAATGGCAAACCACTTCTGGATCATCTGCCAAGAACGTATATGAACAGGTCCCAGTCCGATAAAAGGTTGGAAGGATCCTGTTCATATGGACCTGTCGTCAGACAGAACACTAAATAATAAATAAATATATATATATATATATATATATGTTGAACTAACTTTAAGACTAAGGAAACAGCTCGAACTTCTGTGACCCGTGATATATATTTTCATTAAAAAATTATCGTCTTATGGAGCTGAAAAAACAAGGCGAAACATAAAGAAGCAAGCTCAGTAATCACTAACCATTTTATATTAGTTTACATTTCTCTCATATTTTGTTTCTTAAAGTTGTTAATTTTTAGGTCAGGTTTTCATAGCTGTCTTTTACGATATATTTACACAATTGACAACACCCGAAAATTTGACTAACGCTTTTGAAAAATAAAAAAAATTAAATTACTGTAAAACTAATTTTCTTCTGAATTACCGAACATATCAAGGGACCTTTGCTACTATGGGCTGTTTGCCATGGAAGCCATCGTTATGCTTTTGCGAGTAGGTACACACCCATAGGTTAATTAATGTTTGCAGGTCATGAAATCATAGAGACATTCCAGCTCTGAAAACTAAGTAATATTTGTTTAGTGTGCGATGAGTGCCATAAACTGAGTGTTCCAACATCTCTCTAAGTTGTGCGTGAAGGGCAGTTGCCTAAATTCTGATTTCGGATATATTTACGTATCAAGGCACGATCTCCTGTATTGGCGAACTCTGTGTTAGATGTCAGAACCTCACGAGTCCGAAGATTTCCGTCTTCTAGGTTGTTGCGCTGTGTAGTCTGGTCGATGTTGACCAACGTTTCTGAGGTCATACTGCCTCCGTCATCAGAGTATGAAGATTTCTGTCTTCTGGGTTGTTGCGCCGTGTAGTCTGGTCGATGCTAACCAACGTTTCAGAGGTCATACTGCCTCCGTCATCAGGGCGATGAGTATGAAGATTTCTGTCTTCTGGGTTGTTGCGCTGTGTAGTCTGGT